CTAGGTGGTTCTTCTGCTCTTCCAATTGACTTTGGTTCCACCTCAGCCCAATCATTCATTCAACAACTTTGCAGTGAGCACCTACTAGGTGTAAGACACTGCTCAGGGCTCTGGGAATACTAAGACAAATGAGACGCACATCCTCCCTCAGTCCTTCAGGCTGCAGGTAAAGACTGACAAGAAATTTCTTGTGTGGGTTCTTGGCCATTGACTTTAGTCTCTGCTTTTTCTCTCCTCTGTTTTCAAACCAGATTCTTTGTGGAAACCTATCACCCTGCAAGCTTGTTTTTGTCTTTCCGCTCATTGCCGCACTACAGTATGACTGCGCCTAGTCATTCCACGCCCTGCAGTGTGGCTTCTAGCCTGGACCAGGGCCCTCTGTGGTAAGATCACAGGCCACCTGCTCTCCTCCTCACCAAGGAATACAATGCCTTTCCACAGGTGTCATTTATCTTTTGACTGTGAGTATGTAGTGTTTGACCCAGTGAAACACCCGTTTGTTTCTGCAGATGGTGCCTGCTCTGCCCAGGAAGCCCTGACTTCATCCTGATCTTCCTTCTTTCTGAAATAGAACCAGTCTGTCACAGGCCAACGTGGTCTCTCCCACCTCGTGATCACTCACTCGGCAGGTGTCATGGTTTATCTTGTGGCATCTTTCATACTGATGTCTGATAGTGTTACTTTTGTTGTATCCTAATTTGACTTTTCCTGCAGATTGGACCTGACTCCTTATTCTCAGAGCTAATAAGCAACCCCATCCTGTTGAATCTGTTAGGATTGAGATTAGATTCTTTTTTTTCCCCCTTATTTTTAGTTATTTAAACTGTGTGCCAGGCCTGGCTTGTGAGTCCTCAGATCCATTCCTTGCCCTTCTCTGCTCTGCTGTGTATTGCAGGACGCTGACCCCTGCAGGCTGAGCTCCTAAGATCTTGTGTCAGCTGGCTTCTGGCTGAGTTTGGTCAATGGAAGGCACCAACAAGAATTGGGTGTTGGGAGGGAGAAGCCCTGAATCCACAGATTCTTCACTGACAGCATCGATGGCAGTTCCTTCATGGCTCCAGCCTCCACTGGACAGGCCTACTGTGGTTCTAGCTTCCACAGGGTAATTTGGCTTCTGGATTCTAGTAACATCACCTCCTCCTTTTGACCCTCTACTCTAAGGGGTGGTAGTAATTTCCTGCTGCTGCTAATTTCTGGGTTGCCTTACCACCTCCTAGTAGCTACTCAGCTTTGCTGTCTCCTGAGAAACCAAAACAGAGTCGTTTCTGTTTCCTGGTTGGACCATGGTTGATATAATTATTCCTCCCTTCCTCCCTCCCTCCTTTTCTCCTTCACTCCTCCCCCCCTTCCTTCTTTCCTTCTTTTCCTGGAAGTGGTGCACATCGTAAGGAGATTGTTTTAGGATGTTAGGCCACAGATGGTCTTCCTAAAGCTGACTGCTACTCTGAATCCTGCAACTTCTTGGTCTCTCCCAACACCATCAGCAAAATATGAATGATATAGATGTCTGTGGCTGGTCTGGGAACCTATCATTTTTATACTGCACATATGGGCACCTATACTTGATGCCCCATATTCCAAATATACAAGTTAAATTTTTGGACACAATCTGTTTGCAAATGGCCAACTTGCTGGAATAAAAACAATCACCCATCCGTTTTTTGGAGAACTGCTCATTATTAACATCAGAGAAATTGTTGTGCTTTTCTGGCTGCTGTCATTTCACCTGGAACTGATGTTAAAGGAAATGGTTCACAGTATGGGTGCAGGTTCTTTACTGCATCTATCTGTTGGGGATAAACTGGAGCATGAAAGTCAAAGAAAAGGCAATATTACTTCTTCAAAGGTACCTGTTCCCTTTTGGAAGTGGTACTTGATTATTACTTTAATGTCACTGAATCACTAGTGTCATCAGTAGTAAATCTGGCTGATGGAAGCTCCTCTCTGCCATGCTAGCAGTCCCTCCTGTGAAATGCCACCTCCTTGAAAATATTGAGTTGTGGTGTGTTACATTGCATCAGTCAAAGAGGAGACAAGAAATGAAACAAATATTATATATACCACCCATCTGCTCAGCTGTAAGAGTGGTGTTCTATTTTTTCTGAGGTTTGAGTATTCTCCACTTCATGGTAATTTCTATGTCTGTCTTTGAAAAGAAGTAAAGTGATATAATGAGAAGGAAATGATAACTCGTAATTGTTGAGACCTTCACAGACACTGAGATGGATTACATTCTGACATATTTGCCATAAATACGGATATGGAAGCCTGCCTGTCATAAGTTACCCATGTGTCTGCCAAAGCAAACACAGTTAGGCGGTATTTAAGATGTCTGTTTTAGAAAGTACAGATGTGTACCAATTTTTAAAAATTGATTTTTAGAGGTTAGAATCAAACCTTCTGATTTATTCTTCCTACCTCCCCAAAAAGGGATCACTTCTTACAGTTATCTTAGCAGTTAGGGCTTGGAACAGGCACATTTACTGTGCCATCCTGAGGTAAGGTAGGCCAGGGAAAGGGAATAATGCTGCCTGGGGTTTTATGGAAGGAATTGCATAGCTTGGAAGGTGAGCTGGAAACCCACACTCCAAGGCAATTTTCTAATGATCACAGCAGAGATTTTTGTGGTAATTTTGCATATGTAACTTTCATACCAAACTTTTAGTGCTTCTGCACATGTAGTCCATATGTTTACCCCGAAGCATTTTTTTGCCTCCAGCTGGAACATGCTCAGAGATGATCTGTGACATTTTTACATTCACAAGCTAAGAGTGCCTCTATCTAGTCCTCAGTATAGTCACAGAAGTCCTTTACTTCTGTGCCACTTTGTTTTATTGCCATTTTACAGGAATAGGTTGAAAAGTGCCTGAAAGGTGATCTTCATGGCTCCCAGTCAAGTGCAGAAAGCCAATGTAAAGATAGAGGCCAATTGTTGGAAAAGGTCATCACTGCTTTCATCAGATGACACATGAACCAGTGAACAGGTACCTTATCGATGAAAAAAAAAAAACATGGGCCAAATCAGTGTGCTGCATCTTCAGTTCCATACCAGGCAGTTGGGAGATCAGCCTTACGGCTGGTGAGAGAGAGAGGATTTGCTTTGGCTGGAGCAGCCTTTTTTTTTTTAAACAGAATAAAAACAGGTGGGACCGGAAGGCATGCATGCCTTTAGTGAAGGAAAGTATGCTGGTTGCTGAAATTTAGGGCTTCATTTTTAAAGATTAACTTACCTTAATGGAAATACTACTCTTCTGGGGTAATGAGGTCAGAGTCAGTTGAGGTTACTGTGGTGCAGCCCTGAGGGTGAGCCATTCACGAGTGATGGGCTGTGAGGTTGTTGAGCTTTGTCCAGGTTGCTCTGGACTGGCACCCTTGCTAGATGGCTCTTTAGTTCAGATGCATCCCACTGTCTTTTTCCTACATCGGTAGAGTCCCCTAGTGTCTAACTGAAAGACCCTTTTGATCACAAACAGACCAATTGGCCCTTCTTTGACCAAGCAAGCTTCATTAAAGATCTTTGGAAGGACTGGTTGCTCAGGTTTTTTCTGTTGCATTACAGATGTCAGTGAAGGGAAGTTTACATGAGCCAGCAAATTGGAGCCAAGTTGCAGATGTAATTTAAAATGTTTATAAAACAAACATTATATATATATGCACAGGCACACACACACACACACTTACTTTTATAGACTTAGACTTCTATACACTTGAGTTTGCAATGGAAAATGATGTGTGTGTGAGCATCTGGAGGATGACATTCTATTTAGTTTTTCTTTGAGTGACTTTAATTTCCCACCATTAAAAAAAAACTACATGATTTTGTAATAGTATGCACCCTTCCTAGTACTAGCATGGTATATGCTCATTATTTTTCAAGAAGAGTGTTTATTATTAATAATTAGTTAAGTTAGACATCTTCACTACCTCAGTTTCAGTCCAGGTAGGAGGAGCAGAACGGGAGCATCTGGTGTTATGCATCATGCAAAGACTCCTCCACTGGGCAGAGTGTTGAGGTCATTGAATCTTGCAATCAAAATCTGGTCAGTGAGTAGAAATAAGCCTGAGGATCAGTATCAGCTCCAGTAGTGCCACTCATGTTTAATACCCAAAATGGAATGCAGAGCAGTTATCCCTGCTGTGTAGGTTGGTAAATTTGAACTGAGTTGCATTTATAATGTACTCATCAGCTTTTGATTTAACAAGAGAGTCCTTGATCTTGAGTAAATCACTGTAAGTTCGGAGAGGAAATCCCCAGGCAAAATACTTATAAAAACTGAAATCAGTCAAAGGGAGAAATAAAGCAAGCTTAAAACCCGTTTATTGCTTACAAACTGCAGTCCAGCACCATCTCTCTCTCCCGTGCTCCGGAAGAAGCAAGGAAGCAAGCAAGCCAGCCCCTCCCCTTAAACTCTCAGGTTCAGACATGTAGTTGCCCAGACATGTAATTGCCCATTAACATGGAGATGAACTTCTCTCCACCCCTGAGGATATGCAAATGAGCTAAAGCCAGGCGAGATAATCTGGAAATGTTACAATTTTACCCACAGTCACACACTTTACTGTGACATTGACAATAAGTGGAGAAATAAAATTATAAAAAGTGAAACATTCTGTAAGATTAAATAAGTTTATAACATATGTCCTCCCTTTTCCTCTTTCATTTTTTAGAGAAACAAACTTTTTGACTAGTTTGGAACCTTTCAGAAAGTACCATGTGATTGTGTAGTCACTGTTTTAAAGGATGTTGGTTAAAAAGGCATGTGCACTTTTCATATGATCTTTGGTGAAGGTGACTTTTCTCCAAAAAGATAATCAAATTATTTTAAAAGGTGTGTCAGGTTGGTGGTGGTTGAGGCATACAAAGAAAGAAAAACTCATTGAGTTTGATGATTTCTTATTTTATATGCTTTAAACAAAAAGGCTTCACATATTTGTCTGTCAGATTATTACTTTAAAAAATAAAAAGTTCCCACAAAAAATGTCAGGCTACAGTATGCATCTGAAAGCAAAAGCCATTTATTTTCCTATTATTATGAGGGACAGGTTCAGAATGCCTTTGACAGTCTTAACACCGGTTGGGTAATTCTGTAACCCTTTACCAGATATTCATCACACTCTTACATGAAAAAATACTAGAAAAATTGTTTTATGCAAGTTTGTTTCATTCTCTGTTTATACTGTCCAATCAAGGCACATGTATTCATGAATTCAACAAATATTTATAGAATGCCTATAATGTGTATGCTGGCCTCTGGGAACACAGTAGTGAAAGACAAACTTACTGCCCTCAGGGAGCTTACAATTTTGGGAAAGGTGGGGAGAAAAAACATTGAGTAAACATATGCTTTGCTGGGTGGGCAGAAGGAGGGTGAAGGGGCTAGGGAGCTCGGAGTACGGGGGTGGGTGTATTATTTCATGTAGTTCGGGGAAGAGTTCCAGAAGGGTGTTTATATAATTATTTTATTGCTAAAAAAGAAGAAAAAGCTCTTTGGAGCAGAGAGGAACAAAAGGGAGGAAAGCTATAAAGGTCAAGAAGATAGGCATTTGTCCAGACCTCTTAGCCTCAGTGGAAATCTGAACACGAAAGAAGGTACTAGATAGACAGAAAACAGGGGAGCGGGTTCTCAGAGTTTAGGATTGACCTCTCCTTTTAAAAGGCTGTGCTCTTTCACTTTCCTGAGTTTTTGGGGTTTCTGATTTCTCCCACCAAGAGGGACTTCTGGAAAAACAGCCTCTCCCTCTTGTTAGAGCAAGAGGAACAGAAGGGGATGGGAATCAGGGGTAAGCAACTGGGGTGCTTGGCATGGACCACCATGCTTTGCAGGATTGCAAGCAACTGGAGAGAAGACCCTGCAGACATCCCAGCTTGGACAACTGGTTCCCCAAGTCTCTCTTCCCTGGTAAAGAAAATGCCTGAGAATCTGGAGAAAAAGAAAAGCAATTCTATTAGGAGTATACTATTATTTCCATGGGACCCAAAATCTGAGAGATTTAAAGAGAGATTGAGGGTGGGTAAACTTAGTTCTGATTATGAAGTATAAAGATTAGAAGCTGGGGTGTTTCTGATTATAGTGTTAGAAAACTTAAAATACCTTCAAAACCACAATGAGATATCACCTCACACTAGTCAGAATGGCTAGTACCAACAAGACAAGAAATAACAAGTGTTGGCAAGGATGTAGAGCACAGAGAACCCGTGTACACAGCTAATGGGATTGCACATTGGTGCAGCTACTATGGAAAACAGTATCGAAGTTTCTTAAAAAACTAAAACTAGAAATGCCATACACCCAGCAATTCCATTTCTGCATATTTACCCAAAAGAAATGAAAACACTAATTCAAAAATACTCTGCCCCTCTGTTTATTGCAACATTATCTACAATGACCAAAATATGGAAGCAACCTAAGTGTCCATCACTAGATGAATGGATAAAGAAGAGGTGGTACATACACAAAGTGGAATATTACTCAGCCACAAAAAATGAATGAATGTTGCCATTTACAACAAGATGGCTGGACCTAGAGGGTATTATGCTCAGTGAAATAAGTCAGAACAGTGAAAAACAAATATCATGATTTCATTTACAACTAGAATTAAAAAAAAAAAACCAAAGAAAACCAGAAACAGACTCATAATTGTGAGAACAAACTGGTGGTTGTAGTTTGATTGAGGGGAGAGGGGTGGTTGGATGGGTGAAATAGGTGATAAGGATCAAGGGGTACAAACTTCCAGTCATAAAATAAGTAAGTCATGGGGATGAAAAGTACATGATTAGGAAATATAGTCAATAATGTAATAACTTTGTATGGTGACAGATAGTAACTACACTTAACTGTGGTGAGGATTTTGTAAAGTATATTAAATATTGAATCACTATGTTGTAAACCTGAAACTAACATATACTGTATGTCAACTATACATCAATTAAAAATAAAAATAAAATAAGCAAGTGAAATAGAATTGAGATTCTAGAAATAGATGCTAAAGTACATATCCGTTTAATCTGTGACAAACTAAGTGTAACAAAATAATATGAACAATGTATTAGTGGAGATAATTGGAAAGAATATGGAAAGAATAAGTAGATTCACATTTCATACCATATGGGGCAATGAATTCTAGTTGATTAAAATGTTAAAATACTTTTATAACTAGGAGAAAATACTAAAGCATACCTGCCCTGAGCTCCTGTTATGACATAAACCAATAGTAGATAATTGAGGGCAGATGGATGGGTAAATAGAAGTTGTTTTTTAAATTTTTGTTGGGCAAATAGCAAAGAAAAAAGGAAAGTGACAGGGCAGGGAAAATCGTGATGAATACGATTTTAAAAAATAAGAAAAGTTAAGTAGCTGGAGATTTGTAACAGAATTTCCCAGTGATTTGTAAATGTGAGATACACCTGATGCCATTTGATCAATATTTTTTTAATTTAGGGGGAACATTTATGCAGTTTGGCCTCCCCTTAGGCCTTGTGAAAGAAGAGCACCCTTTGCAAACTGAAAGTCAGATGACTCACATACCTTGTCCAACTGCTCTGCTTCCTCTAGCTTGTAAATAATGATCTCTATTGAATACTGAGTTTAGAGCACCATATTTTGCAGAGAATCTTGAGGCAAAGTCTTTTCCATTAAGTAGATCTGTTTCAGGAGGCAGCAAGCAACACGCAGGTCTGAGCTGCTTTCAGGAATAAATTGGCTTTTTCAATCTCCTGTTCAATTAAACAAAATAAACACACTGAATAAAAACATATTTGCTGGGTGGGATTTTGAGTTGGATTTCAATCTACTTTTAATTCCCCTTCTTGAATTGCAATTCTTCTGTGGGTGTAATCTCCTTGCTGGAAGTTTGGGGGATGCAAAGTCTGGGCTGCATGCTGCATACTTCACTTACGCTGTCTGTGTTACTAGTTCGTTACCCTTGGTTATGCTGCACAGGTGATGACTCCCCACCCTTGGGAGTTTAGCTTTGATGCTTGACCCTCTGGAACCAGCCATGAGCTCACTGAGAAAGGAAGGTCTTTTTTGCTTTAGGAGGCACACTAACATCAGCTCTTTTTCCTTTGATCGATGGCATCATCTTTAATGTGACACCTATTAAAATTTCCTAACTTCTTGGTTGAAGGCAGTTAAAAATGACCTCTTCTTACCCACTGAGAAGGAATCCTCTATGAAACAATGTATCTAACATCAACTATTGGATAAAGTTTATCCAATTTTCTTCTTTCTCTTTCTCTTTCTCTTCTTTATCTTTGATCCACTGTACTGAGCTTTACCTCAAGTTTATAAACCTGGTTGGAATGGAATTTGAACTGATTTGACATCAGGATCAGATTGCATGGATAATAGTCCTTGTAGAAATAACCTATGGATAGGCTTTTTTGTCTATGTCTCTCTCCACATATACACACATATTCTACAATATACCAATACATGTGTATTAGATACACACAACACACATATATATATACAATTTATCTCCAATATACTACAATATTCAAAATTACAGTTTAAATTCTGTACATTGGCACAACCAAACAATAGTCCCTTATAAATTTTCCATGCCTGCTTTAATGACTTTAACAGTAATGTACTTGAATTTTAACATTAGTCAATCTCTGCATTTAATTGTAATGCAATGTCTTAAAATAGGTTGAAATCATAATTACCATTTTTGTATGTCAGAAAGGGTCAAGTATTAGTAATTTGATGTGGTACAACCTAGTACATCCACTCATTCCACAAATGTGCCTGGAGTGTGTGTTAGCCTGCCATGAGAGATTAAAAAATGAGAATGAGAGGCTCCTTCTTGGAGCTCTGAATCTAGACACCACAATTTGAGTACCACGAAGAGAGTGATTTGTCCCTAGGAGGGGAAGAGCAGCATGCTGGTTTGGAGGAACAGACTATGATTTCAGTGGTAGTTCGCTACCTCATCGCAGTGCCTGAAAGCCCACAGAATCCCATGAGAAAGCCCATCCCCAAGACCTTCGGCTCCCCAGTGCCTCCTGAGTCAAGTTCAAAGCCCTTAGTCTGGCATTCAAAGTACCTGTCTATCACTATGCGGTATGTCTGAAACCAATATAGCATTGTGTATCACCTTTATTCCAGCAACAACAAAAAATAGTACCTATCCGACATTCCTTCTTTTCCCTTAGGTTTATACCTTTTTCTGCTCTTCCTTCCTCCTGGAATGTTCTTTCCTCTCACTTGAAAGGCAGTCAGTGTAGTGGTTAAAGACATGGATGCTAGACTCATATTGTCTAGGTTCAAACCGATATTTTGAGCTGTGCAACCTCTGGAAAGTTGCTTGATCTCTGGGTACCTCAAAGCCCCAACCCTCTAATCTGATCTCCTGTAAAAGAGGGATAATATTGGTGTCACCTCATAGGACTGTGCATTTTAAATACTTTATTACAGCACTAGAACAGAGGCTGATGCAGAGTAAACACTCAATAAGTGCTGTTTGTTATTACTACTTCTGTATGTCCAATTCTTAAAGCCTCCAGGCAAGGGCCACCTCTCCCCAAGGCCTCTGTCAGTGTCCCTAGTAGCAAGTTCTCTTTCCTGTCTCCTGTTTGCCCCAGCACATCTGTAACTGTTGTATGACACTTTTAATTTTTATTAGCACCTATGTCATATCTCCTCTACTAATCTGTGAATTTTGGTGTGCAATACAGCAGTGCAGTTCTGAGCTACTGCAGACTCCACAGATACAGGGAACAGTCCTCAACAAAACTGCCCTCACTTCGGCTTCACACACCAACTGTGCTGCAGGAGGTCCCTGGCCACTGTCACTTCTGACCAACCGGTTACAAATTTAGGGGTTCCCAGCACCCCCTCATAATTCGCTGGAAGGACTCACAACACTCAGGACAGCGCTGTTCTTATGATTACAGTTTTATTACAAAGATTATAAATCAGGGCCAGACAAATGCAGAGACACACAGGGCCAGGGTCTCAAACACAGAGCCTCGTGCCCTCTCAGTGTGGATTTAGGAGATGTCACCCTCTAACCACATTGCTACGTTCACAACCTGGAAGCTCACCTGAGCTTTGGGTGTCCAGAATTTTTGCTGGGGTCTCATTATTCAGGCATGATTGACTGAATCACTGGTTACCTGATTGAACTCAATCTCAAGCCCCTCTTCCTTCCCTGGAGATGAGGGCCGTATCACCTGGATCAAAGCCCCAGCCCTCTAATCACATGGCTGGTTCTTTCCATCACTCCCAGCCCCTGTGAGTCCATTTGGTTGTCATAAACTCAGGTGTCCTCCAGCTTGTCTGTCCTCCACCTTGAATAACAAAGGCATTCCAATCACTTGGAAAACTCAAAGGGTTTAGAAGCCCCCTCCCACGAACTCAGGACAAAGACCAGACAAATTCTTTATTCTAAAACAAGAGCTATATCTGATTCTTTTGGAATCCGTGCCTGTGCCCAGTACAGTGCTTTGCACATAATAGGCACTCGTGTTTATAAAAAGAATAGCAAAGGTGGGCTTTAGGGAGATAACTATAGGAAGATTGTTATGTAGGATGGTTTATAGAGACCAGCTGAGACTATTATAATAGACCTGATGTTATTTCATGGACTCTTTCAATACTCTCATAGTGACACTGAAGAAATAGAAACCTCTACAAAATTAAATTGTTCTGTTGCTCCCCTCCCGCCACTATAAAGTACTGAAGTATTTTTCCATACACTGAATTTATTCAAGAAAGCCCTTCACTGGGACGTTAAAGTAGTCTTGAGTGCAAAACTTTTGTTCTCTCATTCACTTAATTGATTAAAATAAATAGCTTGTAATAGTGTTGCAGAGAGGAACTCAATATTGCCATTAGTAAAAATACTCTATTAGGATCTTTAAGACTGCTTATTATGGTGATGTGTTCACAATACCTATACACCCAATGAGATTGGGATTTTTTTCAAAATAATCCTGGAGGGGATGGTGGGTTACAAATGAAACAAGACTCTTCATGAGTTAGTGATTATTGAAACTGGTGATGAATTTCATTATACTCTGAATATAATTTTTATATCTCTTTTATAGAATATAGTTACATGATATTCTTTCCTTTTGTACATTTTTGGGAATTTTTCATGATAAAAAGTTAAAAAAATTGTGGTCTCCAAAGACCTCATACAAAGCATTATGTAATGATGTAGGGGGCCATTCCACCTTAGGAAGTGAGTCTAAAAAAGTGAGTACTCCACCCAACTGTGCGTCTAACATCCAAAGGATGATGTAAATATTGATGTTTGGATGCCAGGTGTCACTGCTGCCCCAAAGACTGCTCTCATCTAGTCTCCTCCATGCATGTGGCATCAACTTCTCTTGGCAAATCCTGTGCAAGCCATTTCTCTCACCAGAAACATTGATATTTAAGGTACTCCAGAGTTCTGATAATTGTTTCCAAATGCTTCACTTTGAGTCAAGGCAATAGAAAACCAAATCAACAAAGCTGGTTTATTCTTTGGGAGACTATGGGACTGAAGATGGAAGTCAAAAATTGCACAAGTGCCAGGATTATTGCAGGACCGTGAGACCAAGCCTCTCTGGACCATTACTAGGTGGACAAACATTACGAAATGACATAAGACATGTCAGAGGAACAAGGAATGCAATTCTTCATCACTGAAATCAAAACTGCAGTGAATCAGAGTGGTAATAAGCTTCTGGCAGTATAAAAACCCCTGGGGATGTAGATCTCAGAGCGTATGAGATTCACTTGCAGCATAAACTGAAAACTGTTGCACAGCCCAGGTATAGGTGGCTGGTGTGAAGTCTGTTTAACTAGCAGGATTGCAAATAACCAATTGGCAATAGAAAGTTCACTTTCATGAGTTTGAAAGGAATCTAAGTGATGAGCATCAACTACAGGAAGTAAAGCATCCTGGATCAGAACACAGAAGCCCCTAAACAGTATTCTTTAAAAATCTTCTTAAAATTTAATGTTTGTCCATACAAAAAACACATTATCTCATACATATGCAAGTTATAATAAAATGAACACTTCTGAGCCTACTGTCCAATTTAAAAACCAGAACATTACCAATCACATACATCCCCTCACCTTCCTTCCCTCCCCGCACCACCAGTAACCACTATCTCGAATTTTCTGTTCACTGTTTCCTTGCTTTCTGTATCTTAATATGAATCCCTAAAAACAAGCAAAAAAACATTTTTTGGTTTTGTTTGTGTTTGAACTTTATCAAAATGGCATCATGATACCTGTACTCTTTTGGTACTTGTTTTTTTTCACTGAACACTGTTTCTAAGCTTTATTATAGCCACGTGTGGAGCTTTGTTCATTTATTTTCACAGCTGCCAAATAACCCACCATGTGAAAAGACAACCTTTAACCCTTCTGCTGTGGGCTGTTTCCATTGTTTCAGTGTAATGAGCAGTGCTGCCATGATCATTCTTGTGCAAGTTTCTCTGTGTGGAAACACTGGACACAGGCTGTGTGAATGTTCAACTTTACATGATCAACAATACAAGGTAATGTCAAATGTTCCCCAAAGTAGTTGTACCAATTTATACTCCCTGCAGCACTGTGTAAGCATTCATTCATGTACATCCTCTCTCATTTTTATGTTGTCAGACATCTGAATTTTTGCTGACCTAGTGGTTATAAAGTATCTTACTATCTCCCTTAAATTGCATTTCATTGTTACTAATGAGGCTTAACATCTTTACCTATGCTTATTTGCCATTTGTTTTTCTTCTGTTTTTTCTTATGCCTTTTATCCTTTTTTCTTCTTTCTTATAGGGTTGTCTTTTTCTTACTGATTTTGTAGGTATTCTTTATAATATAAGAACTGGAAAAACCTTGCAAAATATATCATTCATCTCCTTTATAAGACTGATGAGGAAAAGTGAAATGCAGAGAGGTAACTTGCCCAATATCATAATTTGTGTCAGTAGCAGTGCTAAGATGAGCACCTGAAGCTTTTAACCCTAGATCAAATTATTTTCTCATTATACTATGATAACCTCTTTACTAACTTGTCTCATTTTTAAGTTTTTAAAAAGTGAGCAAGTAATATATGCTCATGGTAGAAAAAGGAAAAAAAAACGAGCAAAATGAATATAGTAAAAATCATCTTTAATCCTGTCTTCCAGCTGCAGCTACTGTTTATAGTCTGCACTTCCTTTCCAGATAATAACTTAACAGGTAATCATTACGGAATGCTGACTGTGGACTGATTATTATGGAGTGCTTACTATATGCCAGGCATTGTTCTAAACACTTCATATGTCTTGGTTCTTTTGATTTTCTTCACAACCTTTTGACACCACAACAGTTTATCACCATTATCCTGAGTATGGAAGGCAGAATACTGGTCTCCCAAAGATGCCCATGTCCTAATAATCCCAGGACCCTATGGATGTGTTACGTTACACAGCAAAGGATAATTAAGGTAGCAGATGGAATTAGGTTTGCTAATGAGCTGACCTTAAAATAGGGAAAGTCTCCTGTATTATCCAGGTGGGCCCAATGTAAACACAACATCTTACATGTGAACTCAGAGACAGAAGATCCAGTGTGGGAATGATATAAGAGAAAGATTCAATCAGCCGTTACTGGCTTTAAAGTTGGAGGAAGGGGAACATGATCCAAGTAATGCAGGCAGCCTTATAGAAGCTGGAAAAGGCAAGAAGACAAATTCTTCCCTGGAGCCTCCAGAAGGAACACAGCCCTCCTGGCACCTTGACTTTAGCCCAATATGGTAGATAGAATAATGGCCACAACTATGGACACATGCTAATCTCTAGAGCCTATTGCTTTACTTGTCAAAAGGAACTTTGCTGATGTGATTAAGCATCTTGAGATGGGAGAATATCCTGGATTCTCCAGGTGGACCCAATGTAATCACAAAGATCCTTTTAAAAAGGAGGCAGGAAGGAGAGGCAGAGAGGAGACATGATGGCAAAAGCAGAGGTTGAAGCTCTGGCTTTGAAGATGCAGGAAGGGGGCCACAAGCTGAGGAATGCAGGGGCCTCTAGAAAAGGTAAGCAATTGAATTCTCTCCTTCAGCCTCTCTGTAGGGAACTTCTGACCTCCAGAACCGTAAGAAAATTAATTTTTGTGTTGTTTTAAACCACTGTTTGTGGTAATCTGTTATAGCAGGATAGGGAACATACACCTCCTTTATAGTCGACCAAAGCCATACAGCTAGTTAGTGGTAGAGAAAGATTTTAATTCAAGCCATCTGGCTCCAGAGCTCATATCCTTTACCACTGTAAGATACACATAGACAGATAAGAGATTTATCTGTACTGTATTTCAATAAATATAAATCCTCCACATCATTTTAATATACATTCAGCACCACCATATTTAATAGGGCAGATAATCATCAGAGGTTTTCCATTATCGTTTTTTGGGGTAAGAGTATATAATTTTATAACTTGGCTTGCATGTTACCCAACTACACTAACATTACTTTGTTCCACTGAATGAATATACCATTATGACATTTTATTTAATGAATCCTATATTATTTGATAGGTTGTTTCTAATGTTTCAATATTCTAAAATCTTTCTCATGATACTAATAATTTGGGAAAATCTCTTAGAAATGCTAGGTCAAAGGAAGTGCATTAAAAAAAAGGCCAAATTACTTTAAGATCACACTGGAATATAATTTAAAAGACAATAAAACACAACTACATAAGGAACGTACCTACTTCTGTTTCTGCAACACTTCTGGAACTAACATTTTTCTTATCCATGGTATATGCTCGGCCTAATTGCATTTTTATTTTTGGAGGTTTTAACTATGTTATTTTTTTCTGTAGAATCATAGGTGTTGGAGTCTAGTGTACTTAGAGGTCATTTAGTTATTCAGGTATTTGGTGGGGCATGTCTGGCCAGAACCCAATGGCCTGACTCCAAGTCTAGCATCTTCTCACATCTGCTGCAATTGTCAAGAGGATAGCTACAGGTAGATACCATTACTGATTTTTAAAAATTCAGATCATGCCATAAATCTTTTGTCCTCATTAATCAGAAGCATATTTTAGGGGCTGCAGATGAATAATGATCTATATATCCAGGATTAAAAGAAAAACTAGCCCTTTTCTGGAATGAAGCTATTTTTATTTTCTCATTGTAAAATTTGGTAGGATTGATGGCAAATATTAACGTTCCCATCCCCTGTGTTTTATGTAGGCGTTCTTACAGCAGATAATCAGAGGTTTTCCATTATCAACTTTTTGAGTAAGAATATATGATTTTGTAACTTGGTTTGCATGTTACCCAACAGCCCTAACGTTACTTTGTCCTGGAATTTGTTGTACACAACGGTATGCAAACTCTTTCCCTCTCTCTTTGGTAAACAATGAAATAGGAAAACACACTGCCTTTTCTGACTGACCTCTACCGCTGAGGGTGGACCCCGCACGTTACATCAGCAGGCCGGCTCCATTACACTGCCCTGGGCTGTGCTCGAGCTACTGAAATATTGATTTTTACAGAGCCGGCGCATACACACACTGAAAAATCAATATTCCAGTGCACACAACAGAACAGGCGGCCCCAGACCAACTCCGAGGCCCAGCAAGCACTGCCGGCAGGCCTTGGCCGAGGAGGGGCTGGGAGGCCGGAGGAGACAATGCCCGGGGAGAGGCCCCTGCAAACCCGGGGAGGGGTCAGATAAACAACCAAGTGTGGAGAGGGAAAAGAAAGGAAAGAGGAGAGAGGAGAGAAAAGACCCTTCAGGATAAAACAGTTGGAAGGAGCAATGATTTGTCTTTCCATAGGGGGAAGTGGGGAGAAGGAGAGAGTAAATTAAGAAGAGAGGATGGGAAGAATTGTACAGGTAAGAATCTTCCCATGAAAATTTATTTTGCTTTTCTGTATCATTCGGTCACACTTATGGTGGAAATTATACAGATGATACAGATATTTTACTACACGAAGGAAAAAAACTAGGCCAATTCTGAGGTTTATTATTTTTTTTAATGCAGGCTCTTTTCTTTTTCTGGGTGACTATAAACTGGCAGATCCTACAATAACCATCAGAGTCTGCCTTTAGAATACGGGCTCTACCTTTGCAAGGCTGTTACTTTTTTTTCCTTGGGGAAAGGGAAGGGAAGGGAAGGATGACATCCTGTTCTTGTGGCTATTTATTGATTGCCTTTCTTTCCAGAAAAGCACCTTTTTTGGCGTGCTTGGGGAACCACGTTAAGAATTGATTACTGTTATCAGCCCAGGGACTTCTCGGAGAATTCTGAGCTCCCCCCGAGTGACACCTCCATCCAGATGTGGGGAGAACGGGTCCCGAGTTCCACTCTCCGGCGTCCAGTACTGAGCAGAGATCGGGGTGGAGACGGATCGGCCTTTAGGTTGGTCTTTGTAGGAGGGTTAAAAAAAAATCAACTGGCACTTTACTTTTCGTTAGCATTTTGGCCTTTTAATTTGGGGAATGGGGTAGGCAGTTAATTAAAAGGGAATACTTTTAACCCCGAAGAATTCTTGATTTTGCTTTGTCCTAGAATTCTCTTACCGGGAATCTCGCTATTAGTTCTCTCAACTCCCTGCCAGAGGAGGAAACTACCCTCCCCGGTGTCTCCATACCGTTCTCTGCCCTGCGGACAGCGTTGCCGCTTCCTCTTCCGCAGCCCAGAAGAGACTGGGGGCTCAACCTGGGCTCGCCTGGGGTCTGGTGGAAGGGGCTTCGGAGGAAGAGGGCATTTAGAGGCACCTTGCAAACCGCGGGTTCCTTAGGCCCGGCGAGGCTGGCCGGGTACAGGGGCCGGCTGCTCTCCAGAGGCGAAGGGGTACGGCGGCATGGCGGTTGGGCAAGGGCGAGGCCGGACGCCGAGCCAGGTGGCCACCTGGAGCGCCCCGCCCCTCCCAGCCCCACCCCCGGCCTGGCCGACGCGCCCCGCCCACTCCCCGCCCCCAGCCCCGCGCCGCTGGTCTATTTGCATAAGGAGGCGGCCCCAGGGCCCGCCCGGGGCGCACGTGACCCCCGGGGAGGCGGAGGGAACCTGCTGACTTGACACGAGCCGTTGTGCAGCTCTCCTTGGCGCGGAATAGCTAGAGCAGCCGTGACCTCCGACCCCGCCCGCCGGCAGCCAATAAGAGCGCAGGTCGTCTCCAAACCCAAAATTTCCACGTCGGCAAAAGTCAAGATGGAAGGGAGCAGAGCGGAGCGCGAAGGGGGGAGCCCGCCCGGGAATGCCTGGCGGCCGGCGCTGGAAGGACAGGCTGCGGAGCCCACGGCGGGCGCAGAAGGGGCCACACGGGAGGGCGTCCCGGCCGAGGGAGGCCGGAGCGCGACCACCCGCTCCGACCCCGAGGTGCCTCTGGGCACCCCGCACTTCGACAGCTTCCTTTGCACCCCGGCCCGGGGACACATCCCCGGCCCGGGGGACACTGCACCTCCGGGCCTGGCTCTGGGGGTCCGTAGGGACGGGGACGGTGGCAGGAGGTTGGGGATGAAGGTGGGGAAGACACTTTCTAGACCTGTTGCATGGGTGCAACAGCTGTTCAGGTGCGGTATGTAGGGGGAGGGGACTGTTTGGTTGGGAGGGAGGGGTTCGCATATACTGTGGGGGCAGGGGATGCAGGGTGGGGGCTAAAAGCAGAGGGGCAGTTTTGGGGCGTGTGAGCAAGGGGGGTGGTCGTACGCCGACGGGGTCAGCAGGAAGCTTTCTGCCTCGCGGGGCAAGGTGAACCCCAAAGAGCGGGTGGGTGGAGCGGACTGCATAGACGCGAGTTCTGGGGCTGGGCGTGAGCTGCGAGAAGACCGGGAATAAAGTGGTGGGAATCTGTGAAGGCCCCGCAAAGCCTTGCTTTCCTGGGCCGTCCCTTCTGCGGGGCATTTCCTGGGCCTGTATTCTCCTTCCTTTAAGCCTTCCAGCTCCGAGAATTCGTCTTCGTGCAGCCCCCTCCCCCGTCAACTTTCCAGAGGGAAGGTAAAAAGTTGCCACAAGTTTGATGGAGCAAGTTAGTTGCTTGCAAAAGTTGGTAAATAGGACCAAGGAGGAGGTGGGGTTCGACTGGGAATGGGTTCTAATCTGCGATGGGTGGAGAGGAGGGGGAGGGTGTGTGAGTCCCGCAGCCCGTTTGCTGTGACATTGCGACCAGAATTGGTCGAACCGGGCTGCTGAAACACTATTTCTGTTGGGCATTTGCTTCTGCTGACTGCGGCAGTAACTTTCCATAATTAATGATCCGTTCCATTATCGGTCGCATCCTGGGCTAAATTGCTTTTAATGAGTTATTCTTTGTCTTAGCTAGGGGTGAGGGGTGTGCACACCTGCAGGAAGAAACTTCTGGAGGAAGACAGCCTGTTTGGTCTTTTGAGGCAAAGTTCTGAGACACTTCGACTCTGAATATGATAGAAGTCAGTGCACTACAGAACTTTGTCCCTGGAGACCGTGGTCGCCGCTGCCGCCACCATCACCACCACCACCATCGCGGCGAGGGCTTCGGGTGCTGGCGGGGTAGTCCCTGCGGCCACGTCGCTGCGCTTTTCCCGTGGGGGAGGGGCGGGTCCAGGGGGGCGTCCAAGTACTGCTTGGGGAACTTGGCCAACTCCTTTGAAGCCAATGGGTTAAATAGGAACAAAATCCTCCCAAATCTCCCTTACTTCAGTTTTTAACCTGGTGGACTCCTGACTGCACAGTTTTTTTTGGTTTTAGAAAAAAAAAAACTTTGGGCTTTTCAAGGTTATTTAAAAGGTACTCAAAAGACTGGCCTCTCTTATTGAACAAAGAGAGCCACGGGTTTATGAATGGGTGTGTGGGTGTGCAGTGCCTTATAGGAATTGCAACTCTCTACCCTTGAGAAAGGAAATGTATTTGTACAAAAGCCATGGATAGTGGTCCTTTTGCTCAAGTGACCTGCTAAGTAAATGAGATCCTGTAAGAACTGAGTTTGGCGATCTGTTCTCAACTCTGTTTCTGATTTAGGTCCAATTCACTTTTATTTATTAAAAGAGGTTTTTATTAATGGAAAGGAAGCACTTTTTCCAAGAAAGTATTTTGAAAGATTGGGAGGTGGGGTGGATATTTTGTATAGAGATACTGCTCTTTTCCTCCTGCTGGAATGTGGGTTCTGTTTGGGGAGTTCCTGTAAATAGCCTGCACTGTGCAATGGGCCAGTGACTGGCACCAAATTCTAGTCCTGTTTTATTGACATTGCCCTGTTGTGATTTTATGAATATTTGGCTGGGGAACTGCTTGACCCAAGGAATTACAAAACTCCTTATTAATAAAGGCATTTATCCAACAAGTATTCATGACGTGCCTGCTAGGTGTCAGGCACAGGGTAGTGAGCAAGAAGGAAATGGTTCCTGTGCCTTGCTGCTGACAGTCAAATAAGGGAGTGGGTCACTGTTTATATAATTTGTGGGATGCTTCAGAAGATGGGGTTTCCTGGTTGTCTCCATGAGACACTTGATTTTAAAAAGCCACTTTTTTACTTAGTGATATTCCAGCTGGCCTATGGGAGAGGGATGATAAATGGAGAAAGAATCAGTTGTGGAAAAAAGTAATCAGTTGCTTGATATTAGAGCCTCGTGGTGTAGGACATAGCAGGTGCTTTTCACAGGAATGTGTCTTGATCCTAAGGCAACCTGTATTCTTACATGGCTATTATCCATTCTCCCACCTCTCCCACTTTACCATCAATGACTGTTTAGCTTCAGTTCCTCAATCCTTTACCAGAGAGATGGCTGAATTATATTTGTGCAGTGAAATAAAGTGATTCAAACTCAAGTACTTAATATTCATTTGAGATTTAAGATGATATACTTGTCAAAAGGATACTTCCCCCTGATTTTTGTGCCTAAGTGTGTCCATGAGGTATTCTGAAATGCCAACTTCCAATGAAACCAGCTTTGTGGGAGAATGCATATGGCTCTGTGAGGGTGTAGGGTGGAGTGGTTGGCTGGGAGAGCAGTCCTCCAAACAAAGAGATGAGTTCAGTCTCTCCCCTAAAGGAGGGTAGGGTTTGGAGTCCCTGACATGGTTATGTCTGGTTTGACTTTATGCTTAAGTGATTTGCTTAGAAATCTTTTGCTTTGTCTCCTGCTTGTGACTAATGGTGAATCAAAGAGCTAACCAGATAGTAGGGCTGTGGTTTACTCAGTGCTGAGGATGATGGAGTATGAACTAGGAAAATCAGCAGGCTCGGGATGCTGCTTACTGTAAACCTTGCATTGTCTCGTAGACCTCAGGCACTCAGCAACCTGTGTATTCTACCCTCCTATCAGGGGTGCCATGGATGCTAGGGATGCAGTAGTGAACAAAATGAGCCAAAATCCTGGTCTTGGAGGTCATTCTCATGCCAGAGAAAGATAATAAAAATACAAAATGGAAAGCATGCTGAACAGGGAGAACATGGGCCCTGGAGCGGCAGAGAGCACTGTTAGAACGGGGTCGCCAGGCCAGAGGACACCCCCAGCAACCTCCTTTGATAGCTAGGCCCTCCTATTTTCCAACATTCCAGGTGGATAAACAAAAACAATAGCTGCAATGGAAACTATATATCACTCTAACAGTGTAGCCTTTCACTTTTTTTGAAAGAGCATTTTCTTTCCACGTCTGAATGTGGGGAGATGTGAGGGTGCTAGAAAATCTTCCACCAGGAGCTGAGGAGCCACATTGCTGGACACTGATAACTTATCTGTATCTAATGTTTAATCTCATCTTCCAGCAGTGAAATTCTAGGATTCTAGATAACCTTGCATCACTAATAGTTTTTTTCCAAAGAATTCCCAAGCACTCTCAGATGTTCTTCAAATAGTCGAGGGTGGGGAGACACATGTCTTGGGACCCCCAGCAGCAACAGAAGTCCACCATCTAGTCCACATGTGATTTCAGGAACCACTTTGTTTCTTGTTAAAGTTCTCTTGTTTTTTGACTTCAGTTTTTCTTATTCATGTGGGCAGTGCACACAGCTTTCATGCGCTAATCACTACAGACCCAGAGGAATCTTACAGATAAAGCTGTAGGCAGGAAAAGAAAAACGCAGAACTCATTGTTCACGCTGCTATGTGCAATGTGTAAGAAATAAAAATCTATGTCACTTGGGTAGCTTTGGAAGAACCAGATGGAAGGAAGATGATGTCTCTTCAGCAGACCCCTGGCAGTATTACGCACAGGTCTCATGATTCTGATCTGTGAATTCATCAAATAGGCACATTGACTTCACAGCAAACAGCTCCTCCTGAAAAGACTGCTTTGCTCTTCAGATGTGCCTCTCTCTTTTTCTTTTTTTTGCCATTTAATAGGAAAAATACAAAGAATAGCTAGTAGTTAAACTACTTAATTTGTACCAGACGCTGTTACAAGCATCCACATATGTTAAATAATTGACTCTGAGGTCAATACTGTTAATATCATTCCCATCTTACAGATAAGGAAAGTGAGGCACAAAGATTAAATAACCTGCCCAAGGCTCATAGCTAGTCAGTGGCCAAAGGAAGGTAGAAGACCCAGGCATTCTGGCTCAGAGTATGATCTTAGCAGCTATACTGTACTGGGTATCATTCAGGTGCTTAACTGGTTAGAGTATAGTACAAAGCAGGTTCAAAGTTAAAAGCACAGAACATAATTAGGGCTTAGTGTCAGTGCAAATCTCCAGTCTATCTAGCACGTGAGGCTGGTTTCCAGGGCCCTGTGGTAGCACCACTTTAGGGATTATTTTACTATTTTGAGTCTTGGCTGCTTTAGCCGTTGGGCAGAATTAAGTGCTGAGAAAAAGAACAGTAGTTTCTTCAAAAGCATCCTGGTTGATACAGTGCAAGAAAAGCAATAGAAGCAGAAAATAACTAAACTGTATTAATGAGTTTCTTGAACACCCTTTGACTTCCTGCAGCCCCTGGGTGTAAGCAGTAGC